CAGTGTTATTTTCATGTTTGCATAATTTAAATGATAATTTATCCACCTCACCCTTGTACATTATATATACTCTAAAGGTTGGCATAGCCCGGAATGATAGAGGGGACAAGCTTCCACTGTCTGTGAAAAGCTTCCGTGGCTTGCGTCTCAGATAGCCTCTGACAACTAAGTCCAGCTCCAAGATGTAGAATAGACGAAGGCGTAAAACGAGGTGTGTTTGTCGCCAAGAGTCTCACTGTTTTTGTGGGTGATGGACATCGGTAGAGGATCGGCCCGACCGAAACCCATACTACTCGTCGCTGAAGATGTCGTTTTTTTTTTTATCTCGGTGCTCGACGACCTTCTTATGGATTATGGCTTCAAAGACCCTACTGATGATACTGAAGAGACTAGGGGGTCTGTACTAAGAGGGAGAAAGATCGTACGCCCGCGTACTAGATAACCGGGTATATACTTGACACCTTCCACAGGCTTTGGAAGTACTTATCCTTTAAGCAGTGGTTGAATAACTGCTAGTATTGGGGATGATTCGGGGTTAATATTCTTAAGGACAACTACTGGAATTTTGTCTGGGCCAGTGACTTTCTTAGGGTCAAGGCCTTTGATAAGTTTAGAGACTTCTTGTACTGTAATGGTAATATTACTAATATTAAGCTTAGTGTGACGTGGGAACTTGAGGAAGGGATGGTCTTTGTCATCTTACGTTCAGTAAAGATAAAGACGAAGAGGTTCGCCTTATCCGTCGAAGATGATATGACCTCGGGACGGTTGACCCCAGAGCAAGAACTCCTTCTATCGTGAATGTCGTATTGCTGTGAAACACCTCTCACGGGAGTCGGACGGCCTCTACAACGTCTAGGCGCTGTCCTGAAGGGGACTATGTCATGCGTTAGTTAGAAGATTCGTACAAGATAATCTGATTGATGAGCTCGATTTTATCTACAAACTGCGTTCGCTTTGATGGGAAGGTGGAGACCCTGGCTAACGTCTTCTTTCATTGCAGGATCATAGTCTCGTTGTGCAAGTTTATTGAAGGCATCATGTTTCGTATGCTACGCGGAAATTTTTCGTCCTCGAGGCCAGTTCTTTCTGTAGTAATGTAATACCGTCATTGCCAAAGGCAGAACACTATGCGTTCTTTTGCTTGCTAGGTGTTATAAGAGTCGTGATTTGGACGATACGTCAGAAGGGAATCAATGGGGGCGAGAAGTTCACATCTTCCCAACTGATCTTTTATTTTAAGCAGTAGTTAAGTCAAGATTAGGAAGTAAAGGCGGCGGATCTCTCCCTCGGAATTCAGCAAAAGGTGGGTGATTCTGGCGCGTTTACCTGCAATTGGTATAATGTATATCCAGAGAGAAAACCAGAAGTCGGTTGGTTGTCAATACTGACAACTTTCCGGCAACTTCTGCAGCAAGCCGACCCCAAATGTAACGCCCTGTGTATCTATAGTACTTCCTGTATTGTCGGTACAGCCAAGGGGATGGCCAGGTAGACTGAAGAGGTCACTCGAGTATCACCATCAAAGGATTGACATTTTACCAAACAGGCCGCTAACTTTATCTGGCAAATTAAATAAATGTCTAATATAGGAGCTATTGTAGACGGTATAAATGTTACCGAAACTAGTGAAATATTCTTAAATACTATATACCGTCAATATATTTGCATTTCAATATTATTATTGAGGGTTATTTACTTTTATATATATATATATATATATATATATATATATATATATATATACCCGATGCGATGAGAACGAAAGTAATATATAAATTCCAACGTTCACAGCATTAATCCAAAAGAGGGCTCGATACCGATAGTAGAGTGATAATTATTTATTTGTCATAATTTTATCATATAGACAAAACCATTTTACTCACTACAAAGATGCAACTTCGTTTCAGTGCATTTCGACTGCACTTCGACGGATGAGAATCGAAAATGATTATATTGTAAATCCACTGAAACGAAGTTGCATCTTTGTAGTGAGTAAAATGGTTTTGTCTATATATATATATATATATATATATATATATATATATATATATATATATATATATATATATATATATATATATATATATATATATATATATATATATATATGAATGTATTGAGAACGAAAATAATATAAATTCTAACGTTCACGGCATTAATTCAAAGAGGGCTTGATACCAAGAGTAGAGCAATATTTATTTATTTATTATAATTTTTACATACGGACAAAAACCAGTTGTTCACTACAAACATGCTTTCTTGTTTCGATGCACCTGCATCTCGACTGGTAAGAACGAAAAATCGTTATGAACAATTCTATTTACAAGTAAGTCGCTCATGGAAAAAAAAACATAAGGAGAAACACCTTAAGAGGAAACGGAGAAGGGTAAAGAAAAAAGGGTAGAAAAAAGAAGGGACAGAAAGAGGATGACAGAGTAAGACAATATTATTTGTTGATGGCTGTTAGGGGGTTAAGACAAAGGCTTGACCATAAAAGTTTAAAACAAAGGAGAAGTGTCCACCAAAACATTTAATAGCATGAAACGGTCAGAAATACAAGCAAAGTACGCCAAAACTTTCAAGAAAAAGGTGAGAGAGTGAGAAAGAGTGAAAGGTGGAAATAGAAAAGAGGAAAAACGATGAAGGAGAAAGGAGAAATAAGTATAGGGGAAGGTTTACCTGAAAAAGAGTTACTTCCTTGGAGGATAGCAGCAGCAATGTTGATGGAAGGCAGAGAGGAGCCACTCAGATGATTCGTGGGTAACAGTTTAGTTTTGGAGGTGTTAAAAATGACAAGCCAACCTTTTTCTCCAGCAACGACGGTCTTCAGGTCGTTTGTAGATCGGCTGCCATTTTGAATATTGTCTGACTGATAAACGTTACTATCGAAACAGGAGTAAATGGTAGTGTCGTCAGCATAGATGTCAATTTGAGAGCTGATGTCATCCGGAAGATCGTCAACGAAGATTAAAAACAGCGTCGGACCAAGAATAGAGCCCTGGGCGGAGAGACACCCGCGTTAGTACGAAAGTATGTAGACGAGTGGCAGTTTGGAGCAACTTTCATTTCACGATTTGATAGGAACGACTGGATCAGCCCAAAATCGTACCCGGGGATACCGTAGCTTTTCAGCTTGTGGAGAAGATCTGAATGCCAAAACCTGTCAATGGATTTCGAGATCTTCAATGCTACACCGATTTATCTAAAGCACGATAGACAGTTTTCGCAATTATCGTTACTACATCAAAAGTTGATCTGGAGAAATGAAACCCGTATTGCTTGCTTAGAAAAGGCCCGGTAATGAGAGACGATGAAGTAATTCAGCATTTATTAAGACCTTTAGGAGTTTCTTAAAAAGAGGAAGAAGGCTAATAGGTTGATAGTTGGATGGGTCAGACAGTTCACCAGAATTCTTAAAAACTAGGACAACGGACGATGACTTCCATTAAGCAGAATAGCAGGAGGCAGTGAGACATTTATTATAGTTTAGATAAAACAACTGGATGTAGAAAGCAGCTGTTTATCGTGACTGTCAGTTGTACATCTTAAACAATAATCAGATCATATGATAATCCTCTTTTCGTGGGCTTTATACATAGGCCACTGGAGCTTATGGAAAATAAAAATGAAGTGAGTGAGTGAACTGGTTTTTGCAAATCTATTGTTTAGGGTTATTTGATTAAAGATGTTACTTTTAGAATTCAAAAAGTACAAACTCAAAAAGTACTTTTTAGTGTGTATGCATCGTGACATTATTTCCGATCTTGGTCTTGGAGAAGGACAACTCTGAATTCAAAACCTGCGTAGGGTCGTTTGAGGGCCCTGTGGCACGTAGTGCACCAAGTCTCTGTATTCGTCCCTTCAAAAAATGTGGATAGTTCTACACAAAAGCTTCACAGCTATAATCAAATCTCATGTGCTGGTGTCGGCCTGTCAGTTTCCTAGGAAATGATCTGTTTGACCCTCATGCGTCGTATTCGAGTAGTATACACGATATATATATATATATATATAATTAGATTTGCCAATCAAGTTAACTTTGTTTCAAACTCTATAGGCCAAATTGGAGTGGGAGCAAATAAAATGTACATACTTTCATCCTGTTTCGTAAAAACTCAAAAAGTACTTTTTAGTTTGTATGCATCATGACATTATTTCCGTCTTTCATTCAGTAAATTATTTGACTCTGGAAATGTTATTATTTTTAACTTTTCCTCCTACCACAGTTTGCAGATATCACTGCGAATGCTGTAAGCTTTGGTTCTTTTTAATATTTCCCAGTTTGCAATCAGATATTTGTTATATTTTAGAATAATTTTTTTTATTTCTAACCGTGAAGTTATTTATTTGGCTTTATATCTATATTAATTATAATTTAATCGTTTTGTGTTATCTTACTAAAGTTTACTCCAGACCTCGTCTGGCGTCCCAACAGATATTCAAAACTGGAAGCTCTTTGTAAGCACAGCCGTTCATCTTGTAAATTCAGGCTCTGCTCGGTGATCTTAGCTTGGTTTTAGGGGTAGTGAAAGTAACAATCTAATCTTTCTACAATTGAGGTGATAGATATCGATTAGAGGAGAGATAAGCTGCCGGACTTGAATTATGGTGATTTTTGCAGGTATTATTATTGATAAATGCTTGATATGAAATATAATATTAATTTTATGATAAATAAATATTATATTATCAGTTGGGTATATTTATTTTTTTCATTATCACAGAGAATTGATTTATATCTTTTCTTAAGTTCTTTATTTGAAATAAAAATTTATGGATTATAAGTTGTTTAGTCTTTTGAGTCATGATGAGGTTGTAGGTAGTGTAGGAGAAAATTAGTTTTTCATGGCTGTATTTGGAAATGAGTTTTGCTTTTTCGTTCTGAACATTTTATTATCACTAATTTCACCTCCAGGGAAGAATCCTTGCTTTGAGGGATTGAAGACGATGATCTTTCTGCAGTTTTTTTTTTTTAATTTGAGCGTTTTTGGTTTCCG